ATGATTTAACTTTGTCGTTTGCTCCTCTTTCCGTCACATGTTTACCAATTTTTTGAAATGGGATGTCGATGGCCAACGTCAGAAATACTGACAATCCAGTAATCAGTATCATTTGACCTACGTCGAACTAAAAAAATAATAGTATGAATAATGTAAGTGCAACTTGCATTTACACATTTTTGTACACTTAAAAGAAAAACCATCAAATAAGTGTGGCGTAATAGGTAAACGGTGAATTAGACCTGAAGTAAAATCCATAGCTCGCTACTCGATATTTTTCCTCTATGAGGAAAATCAATAAATATGTTGTTGTTAATAAGGAACTATGCCAACTATGAAAACCTTAAGGAAAATCGTTCAGAAACATTGTATCGTGTATCCAGCCCAAAAACATATTTATGTTAAAAATGTCAATAAATATCATCTTGATTATATATTTATCATTATTATAATTCATAAATATTATTATAACATAAATACATTTTTTATTATTATTAATTAGTAATGTTTAACATAAATATGTTTTTGGGCTGAATGATACACGATAAAATGTTTCTGACCAATTTTTCGTAAGGTTTTTGTTATCAAGGTTACTTCTGAATTAAAACATATTATTTATGATTCAAAGATCGAGTAGCTTGCTATGGTTTTTTTCAATATAAAAATCGTTAGGTTAGATTAGGTTACAAATCGTTCTGTAAATTTTAAATTACACAATTTATTTTAATATAGAGTATAACTATATACCGTATTTAAAGTATCAAATGCTCAAACTTGTATGTAAAATATTCACGGATGGAAATTAAAAAATAATTATATCCATCCAATATGGGTAGCAATAATATATTAATATCTTATTAAACTGTATTTATTTATTACCATTGTGGCTGTAGTGTGTAAGGACGGACCTCTGGCTGATCCAACGAAATAGAAGAACACAGGATATTGTACTAGGTAAACAGCGTATGAGATTTTTGAAAGCACCGTAAACGGCCTACAACATAACAGTCTTCCAAACCAACCTATCAAAAACGATACAATTTACAGGTATATACTAATTACTATACAATATTTTAAAAGTCATAATATTAATAACTCATATATACACAATATTAAATATTAAGTGTCTATAAAGTATTAAGTATTACTTCAAATACTATTTAAAGTCTTAACCAAGTCCACCCGCGAGCACCCTTATACAAAATATGCATTGGGAAAAGCAGTGTTCAGGATAGAGAGGAATGGGAGTTTTCCATCGGGTGTTTAAAAAAAATGTTTCTACCTGTAGCTAATATGCTTTTTACAGCATCGTTCCTTACCCCCGTGACCACTGTCGGTGGCAATGACGCACCATAGTATGAAAACAGTCCAAAGGATGGGTGCGATCGCGTTAAAAATCGCTAGGTGAATATTGTTGTATACATAGTTCATGTTAGACAGCTGATAAGGACCGAACACCGCCAATAGTCCACAAGCGGTCGCTACAAGCCATGTCTTTTTCACTTGCACCTGCGATTTCAATTGAATGTCAGATTATTATAATATGATGCGAGAAAGTTGTACAGCCTTTAGAATGTATAAATGTCCTATATAGTATATACCTACACTGGAAATATTTAAACGGCCGCGTTGCTGCATCCAATAGCCAACCAAAAAGCCCATTAGATAAACGGTTGCTCGGTGCGTCGGTAAAGTATACGTCAAGTCAAAAGTACGATTCAATTGTGAAATGCTGTTGTACCAAAAAAAAAAAAATTTAGTATATTTAAAAATAATATGATTAATATTGTATTGTGTAGAACAGTCTAATGTTTACATAGCAATGCTAACATCTATAAAAAACAGGAATGTCGACTGTCGAGTATATTTTTAAGCTTCTGAAAGGTCGGATAAACTATAACTAATGTTTAAGAAGAGATGTCTGTCTAAAATTTTCTATCACACGCTCATTATACCAAAACAAATGTAAGTATTATTCATTTTTTTAGATTACATTTTTTAGACGAGTATAACCAATTACGCAATTTACCAAAGTGTTAATGTGTGTGTACAGTGTGCACAATGAGTCGATACGATCATGTATTAATAATATTTACAAAGTTTTAAAAAATGGATTGAAAAATATATTTTAACTATAGTTGTTTACGTGGTTATTATTTAAAAATAATCAAAGTTCATGATTAATATTAGTTTAGTAAGTAGAACTACTGTAGATGAACACGTGGCGAAAAATGTTGTTTGTCATACCATTTTTGCAGTCGTCACTGGTTTTGTTTGGTGGTAAAAATATGACACATGACAGACAAAGTATGTTACTACAATATAAACATTTTTTAAATTAGTTGGTTATTTGAATGCAAATTTGTATTCAATCGTATCCACTATTATAAAAAAACAAGGAACCCACTCAAAATATAGAGTAATACAAGCCTATTGTGTGTGTGTGTGTGTGTGTATGTGGAGGGGGGGTCAATCATAGTACTTAGAAGCATACTCAGATCCAAAATAAACAACCGTGGCCAAATTATTGTTTATGACTGCTTGATAACGTAGTATTGTTGATGCAGACATGATTGCCGCAATGACGAATAACGCAACAGCTTTACTTTTTCTTAATAAATATATTAATGGGATAGCCATCATGAACAATTGAAAGTCTATGGCAAGTTGATGAGTATGCGTTAAACACTGAAAATAAAAACTATATTGATTTTAACAGAATATTTACATTATAAAATGATATAGTAACAATATTTACCATATTTTTAAAACCAAATAAGTTTTGAATATACAGTAAGTTTCTCCACCAGTTCTTGTAACAGAGATCAGAGTGTCGCGTGATAACCATATTCCACATAGGACCATAATTAATTTGTGGTAAGTATCTAGCGCAAATTAGCATTACTGTTACTAAAGTTGCAGTCAATCTAAAACAAAACATTTTCACTGAAGATTAAATTATGATAAAATAATGAAAATAAAATAAATCTTAATTGTTCATTCTACATTAATATTTAGTATCTAAGTTGGTTGTAAAGATTATGAATAGGTTAAATAGGTTAAATAGGTTAAATATCTAAAGCATGTTTACGATGGTTTATTTATAAAATAGCTTATATTAAAAATATAAAAATGAAAGCAATATTATTTACCTGATAATGCAAAAAAAATAATATTTTTTGTACCTATATATTACTTACAGTTTATTGTTAACAATAATATATTTTTATTCTAAAGTACAAATATTTTTTATTACAATGCAACTATTATTAGTTATTATTGAAGTATAATTTAATTATTTAAAATGTTTAGCTTAAACTGTGATATGTTTTTGTTCCGACAGTTCATTGCCTATTCAAATTAAATGTATAATAATAAATATAAGTATAGTTGAATCATCGTGAAATATATGAATAAGAAATAATTTAGGTAAAAAAAAAATATATTCATGCGGACAAAAACCTATTTTTCACATTTTCCGATTTTCTATATACTATAATAATATAAAAAATACGACTAAATCAAGTATACCAACCGTATATAACGTGAAATAACACTCTTGACCGGTGAAAATTTACTTAATGTATACGCTGCTAATAAGCCACTAATGGCCAAGAAAGAATCTGTGTATAAATAAGCCACTCTTCCTGTGACTAGCCACGGTTTTGACATATTCTATGAAATAAAAATAAAATAATGATATTAGATAAAAACGTGTCAAGTAGAAATGTTATCCAAGAAATATTATATATACTGACTTCGGACATTTCGGTCTTGTTTAAGTATGGCAAAAACATTTTAGCCATGACCATGTGACACAAAAGCAGGGCGATCATGTTAAGAGCTCTAATGCCCTCTATGCTCTTGAATCCATCTCTAGTGGGGGAAATAAACAGAGATTTAAAGTTTTTCCTGACTGAAAACGAATTCCTTAGAACACGCGATATTCGGAGCATAAGGGGTGCAGTTCGTTCGACGTCAGCTATTATTTTATACAGAAAATATAAAACGCATATTATACTGTTGTTATACCTACACAAAAAATTGAATGAACCTATCTGGTTAAAAAAATAATGTTACGTACGATCGAGTTCGTCGGGAGTGCATAATGCTCCTTGTCCAAACATCGACATGCTTAAAATGAAAATTGCCACCCAAAACCGTACCCAGTCGAAATCGGTCGAATTTTTCGGTAAGCGTTTCACCTGACACATGTCATTTTCAACGAGAACTTCGACGTCTTGGTACTTCTGAGCAGTAGATCCCGCAGCAGAGGCCACGTCATCCGGACCGCAAGAGGATGGTACACAAACTCCCCAGTATACGGTAGAAAACTTTGGTAAACGATGACCAGGCTAAAAGAAAAACAAATTATCCACACTGCACGTCTCGCCAAAATTAAGGACGATTCGAAATGCTTGGAAAACTTACGTCAGTCAAATTATTTTTCACTTGGTGGTAAGCACTGATGTAGTTGCTGAAAATCGGATTCTTTAATTGGATTGCGACCAAACAGTACTGTCCGGACATTCCGTTGTTGTTGATGACGTTAATGCACTCGTCGAAATCGCCATATTGATTTAAATTGCCTCTTAATATTCCTGATGGTATCTTGGCTGACGAATCGATCACTGAAATTTCGCGGTAATAAATAATCGTCTGACGGTTTACATCAGAACTATTGTAGGTTTATAATAAACATATTGAAATAAAAACCAACTTTCCAATGCCCATTTGTCTAGATTTTTCACTCCGTCTAACATATTTTTCACGTCTACGCTACATTGATCGTGCTCGCTGTTCTTGAGCTCATCGTAAAATCCAAAAGGAATCGATTCGAGGCCCGCAGCCCACGCCGCAGAGGCCAGCGAAAAAACAACGAACAATATTGATCCTTTCATCGTCGATTGTTACTATTCAACTAACACGTGTACACGTTGAACGGAGTTAGTTATATAAGACGGGAAGTTTAGAGGTGACAAAAGTAAAACACATGTTACTGCGGACAATGTAACTTCCTTTTAATGCAAATTTACTATTGTTACATTTTTGTTAACATATAATTTTCTTGTAATTCTATTTCCGAATGTTATATTTTATAAGTTAAACTTTTATACAATCTGACTCGGCAGCTCGGGAAGGCCAATCGCACACCAATTCCTCTTGATTCCAAACAGTGCCGGGTTGACAAAGGAAAGGCATCAATTTCCCATGATCACACATGAAATACTAAAAATAAATATAGAAGCATTTTTAAGATACATTAGTTTAGTTCACTAAATATACACAATATAGTTATACTTATATAAGTACAATTGTAGTCGAGAATAAAATACTTCGTGGAACCAAAATCTAACTTGATTTTTTGCAAATCCACTTTTTATACATAATATAGGTTATTAGTTGTATCAATGCTTTATAATTATTAATTCAAGCTTACAAAGAGCCATTTAGGCGCATTATTTAAAGAGTTATTGGAACTAAACAGTTCTAATTTAACGCAGTTTACGAATTTTTTGTTAGTATCTAGTGACCTGAATAAAATCTTTTGATTCTTAATGATAGTGTTAAAAAGATAAAACCAATATTTTCTACCCTGATTATGATAAAATAAATTAGTGAAAACCAAAAAAGCCGCGAGTTCTTTTATTTATACACCATAATCAGTGGCATACCCAGGAATTTTTTAAAGGGGGGTCCACATTTTTTTAACATTTAAAAATATTATACAATCAGTGGTTTACACCTTATACTTTTTAAATTCTGTCAATCAAAGGGGAGGGGGTCCAGGCCCGACCCTCCCCTCCCCCTGGGTAGGCCCCTGACCATAATAATATGTCAACCATACAATAATATGACAGTACATCACATGTATTTTCAATAACTTAAACACTAATGTAATCATTTTAAGATATTTATTGTATACAGCTTTAGTAGTAGTGTATTTTAAAAATTATAAAATGTAATGTGTTTCTTCAGAAACGCCAATAACCCTGGTGGTTGAGGAGTATTTTAAAATAAATTTAAAAAATATGACAGTACAATATTATTATAGATAGATTTGTAAATAAAATAAAATACTCTATAAATTATGGTACCATCATAACCATCATTATACTATTTTAGATCTGGCATCACGTATAGAGCATATAATATTCTCAAAATCTTAACTATATGGAAAAATATAAGTACGACCAAAAGCAGTGCCGGATTTAACCACTGTGCCGCTTTAAGCACTAAATAATTTTCCGCCTTTTAATATAAATATTTTTCTAATCTAAAAAATGTTATTAAAGCAATACAATTATAGTTTTTCCTTTATGGCTTAAAATTTTAATGATGAAAACTAAAAATATACATCTCTACGATTATGAAATTGGGAAACATAAAATATAAATATTACCACAAACCCGTTGGTCTAAAAACATTTTATAATTAGTTCTATAGTTACATATAGTAAAAATGTAATATTAAAAATTATTTGCCGCTCTTGAGAAATTGCCGCCCTAAGCACTAGCTTATAGTGTTTACTGCGAAATACGGCACTGACCAAAAGGTTCTATCTGAATGGTTTGATCCTTATTTGAAGACTGAAATGTTGTACATTGTCGTGTTTTCACCGTAAGACAAATCAATATTACAAGATTTATAGCAGAACAACGCAGTCAGTTTTTAGATTTGACAGTCGATAAAATCCATTCGTTATGAAAGAATAAATAACAGTTCGAACTTTAAAAGTTTCTCCTGGACAAATAGATATTTACCTCTGATTTCACGAGTTTTCAAAATTCACAACTATAATTTACGATACACATTTTCAAGCTATTAAATATAATATTTTAGATACATGTATATATGTTTATACATATTAGCAATATAATATTATAGTAAATTTACCATCGCACAGTGACGAATTTAAAAATGAAAAGGGTAATTACATTAAATAATGTAAATATTATGTATAAATAAAATGGAATAGGTACGCGTTATAAGATAAGGTTTGAATTAAAATTATGTTAATACTACGTGGACCATTGAGGATCGGTAATAAAACATTAAAATTATAATCAAAAAAATATTCAGATAGGGTTCGCCTTAAAAAAATGTTGAGTAAAATGTTTTCTAAAATAATAACAATTCAAACAATTATAATACTGCACGCAACACGCAGTATATAAGTATAGAATAGAATAGATACATAATATTATACATATTATACTCTAAGACAATAGTTGACTAATTTTCGTATTAACTTTCTCGCAATTGTAATTCATCATTGTTTAATGAGTTGCTTAAAATATTTTCAATCAGGCTAAAGTACCTTTTAAAAGTAAAAATTATTATATTATACTAGTATATACTGTATAATGTATACTAATTAGTAATTAGTATTTACTAAAAGGTATAATATGGGTGGGCATAGAATATGAATAATAGCAATTATTGTATGACAATTGATTTTTAGTCCCTTAATTGGAAAGTCATTCTAACGTAAAAGTGGATCGGAGAATAAATAATTTTAAAGAGTTTATTTTTATAAACGTGATCACAGAATTCATTTGATCATAGTTATCATAGAAATATTTAAAAAATAGTAACTTTTTTCAGCATGTTTTAATAAAAATTAAATTTGGTTAGATTTTGTATACATGTAAAAAATATTATTCAACCAATTTTCTGTTAATTAAAACAAGAATCTACTTCATGCAAATTAAAGCCGGTTGAATGCAATATTTAATGATAAGAAAAACAGAAAAACGATATTAAAAAGATTTAAAAAATATTAAGTAAAAAACATTGGTACTTGTCGGCAATCCGCCCGTCACTATTCTTCGGTACTGGATTCTCTTATTTTAGGTACAAACTTTTTTCATGATTTAGGTACAGACGTTTACATAGAGATTATTTTGAACTAATTAGCTTCAGTCGTTTTATGATTACACTACATACTCCACCGAAGTTCTAACCACAGCATTAGCAAGTTGTTTGTAGTGAATCGTGTACGTACATAGTAATAATGAATTTACGTATATTATTTAGTGAAGCATCTGGTGAGTAGTGACGAACCAGCTGTTCTAATTTTGGAAACATTATAAAATGATGTAGTTACTTACTATCATAAATATTAACCACCTACTATATGGTCGTATCACCTTGACAACGGGTATGTGATTTAAATGTATGTCAAGCGGTTGGTAATTTCATTATTATAATAAAATAAATACTAATTATAGTTTTATAGTTTTTCAGTTTGTTTGAGAAATAGTTTGTTATTTATTTTATTTACCGAATAAAAAGCAATTACAAGTACATATCTATTTTAGTTATAACAAACTGTAGTTAACTGAAATGTTAAAGATACATTTGGCATTATGTAGGTATACACCGAACACGGTATAGATATTACCTATGTGCAGTACATACTAAGCAAATTATTATCACCCAATAAAAAATAACGTACTTATGTCTCTGTAATAAATAAAATAAAATAATATTCGAACCCCATTAAAAGTATTTGGGTTTGTTTTGGATTTGTAAGTTTTAATTGAAATATATATATATATTTATTTATTATTATAACCAAACAAAATCAATGTATTATTATTTTTGGTATGTAACTTACTTTATGACAGTAATTACTAGGCGAATACTCTCCTTGTTTGCATCCTGTTGTTTTGTGACCATACGTTTTTACAACTTTATTAGTTTCTTTAACTGTTACAGTTGCAGGTTCTTTAACTGATACAGTTGTAGGTTCCTCAACTGATACAGATGTAGGGTCAGTAGGGACTTGCATGGTGCTGTATTTCTTATTTTGAGTAGTTATTTCTGGAGGCACTAACCACTCGGGCTAATGGAATAGCAAACACGGCAATTAGAACATAAATAATAATATCAATAATAATACAGTCATTCTAGTTTTCATACCGTAGGAGTAGTAGTTAGCTGTACAACTGGAGGGGTGTATGTTTCCATAGCATCTCGCAAAACTCGAATGAGAGGATTTTTGGGACCACAAATGCCATTAAAATCGTCCATATCTACAGCCCAAGTCATTGCACCACCGTAGCCTTTGTTTTTGATATGTTCCATCTTTAATGATAAACTTGTGACATTATCATAACCAATCCACTGTGTACCTTTTTTTATCGTGCATATAATACAAATTACAAATATATTATTATGTACATGTTAAAAACAATTTTTAAACGCATCTGGTAAGTATACGATTATAACACCTTTATATGTATACGGGCACATGCCAATTGGATCCCACATTTGAGTCCAACCACTGTCTTCCTCTTGTAAGTATTCACATATCTCATAATAAGCCAAAAATCCGACAGCTTGAGTGTATTTTCCAGCTTCGCCACCTCCTGCTTCTTTATTGATGTACGTGCCAATATTGTAATTTTTATTACTAGCACTCAATGTAAACGATCGGCCGTAGAACGGCACACCCATAACTAATTTATTTGGTGGACAACCAAGATCCACCCACAATTGCATTCCATCGGCCTGTAAGTCATAAAATGCACAAAAAATAAGACTTATGGTACGATATAAATTTAAAATTTAACTTTTGGTTACGCACAACATTTAGTTTTTCATATGCGTACTGATCAGAAGGTCTTTTAAACAATGGACTGTGGACATCCGCAAACCCAGCCCAATTTCCTCGTAAATCGTAAGCCATTACGTGAACAGCATCGGTTAAACTATTAGAAACACAGTAATACACAACTATATAATATTTACTAATTCTCATATTCTAACATGGATGCAATACCAAATAAATGTGTGTACATTTTAAATTATTAAATTTATTATTACAACAAAGATTTATTTGAATTTTTTTGTTGCTATTTTTTATTTTATACACGTGTAATTGTTTTTAATTGTACTCCATTATAATTAATATAGAAATAAAAGTTAACACAGTTATAACTGCCTATTGTATGTATACGAATAGCTTACCGGCATAGACCCGGAACGTAATAACCTTCCATCAATCGGAATTTTGCTAATGGCACTGCCATAGTTAATTGCCATGAAGTATTTTGATTTTGAAATTCAGCTCTTAGTTCTTGTACAAAATAATAAAAATTATTGCGATCTAAATAAGCTCCTTCACGGTCAACTGCGCCGGGATATTCCCAATCGAGGTCTAAGCCATCAAACTTGTACTTCTTAAGAAATTCTAAGAGCATAAAAATGTACATTTTATAATTTATAAAAGTATTTACAATTTTTAAAGTGGCTAACCAACTACACTTTTGATGAATGTTGCTCTTTTCTCTGAAGAAGACACTAATGTAGAATATTTCTTGCCTCCCTCTGCCCAACCACCAAGAGCTACCATAAACTTAATGTCTGGGTTCATTGCTCGAAGATCTGTGAAATTCTTGAAACCATTTCTATCTACATCGATCTAAAATTGATTGACACACGCACAAGTAATAAGTATTAATAATATAAATGCATAATATGTAGTAAGTAATAAATAATGTGTATAAATAGTTGAATAAGAAAAAATGTTTTTAATTACTTCAGGATCGAGAACACTTATGCTCCAAGTCGTGTTGTCTACCCCGACAAAAGAATAAATAACATGGGTGCAATCATTGATCGGTATATCGTCTATGGTATATTTTCCAATTCCCGGTCGATAAATAGCCCAATTGCTGAAGTAGCAGACGACTTTAGCACAATCTATAGATACAGTCAAACAACAGTAAAGTAAGTTATAAGTTGTTACACAACCTGCAAACACATTTAAATATTATACCGAATTGAATTACCTAGGGTCGATGTCGAGCTCAAAATCGTCAATATTAAAAATGAAAACGTTCCATGCAGCATCATAGTAGGTAATTATTATATCTAGATGTGTTTGAAATAATATTCGGCGGTTCAGTGTATAATAGCGTGTATTATATAATTTGATTGTGTTTCCACTGACAGTCCTCTCGGTAATGATGTCGTCGGTTGTATCAAAAACTAATTTATAGTCTAGTCGACACTCATCGGCAACAGTCAATATACCATTACAATGTCAATGTACGTCCACCGCATCACGTGGCACAACAAATGCACACACACTCATACGCTCTGCACTCACTCGCACATATTAACCAGTAAATAGTTAAGAATATAATGTTTCAACTTCTTCCTTCGTAGTTCGTAAGGTACTAAGGTCGAGTTGGATGAGGCTACGGTTAGGCTGATTAGGGACGGTTGTTGAATAGTAACGAATCAACGGAGAAAGCCTTCCGGAACAATAGAGAATTATTGAAACCGTAGACAAATGATTAATAATCTAGATTTTTATTTAATTTTTTAATTTGTATCGTTTACTATAACATATTATCTACTTTTTTTCACGACCGACCCATCGATTCAGAAGACTGATTAGAGAACTAGAAAACACTATAGCTAAATAGTATAATAGTAGACGTTACATTTAGATACCTACCGCCTACCGGCTACCAGTAACCCGTTTGATATTACTATATTAGAACGAAAAATCTCATATAATAGTGAAGCAGTTTGCATGAATACAAAACAAAATAAAATATACTGTGTATACAGTAGTACTAGTGGTGCATATCAAGTGCAAAAATGTTTTATGGTTTTAACAGATTTAATGTATATTATTATATTGGGCATATTTTTATAGAGAATAGCTGCATACGTATATTTAAGTTTTTTAGTACATTAAAATCTACCCTAAATTTATTATTGCAGACGTAAATTATCAATGCATCTGCAATAAATTAATTAACTTTTCATTCATATATATCTGGGGTTCCCCGCATATAATTGTATAATTAGTAACTAAATAAGTTATTAGTTTATTTTATTTTAAGCCTTTAGATTTGCATCTAGACATGTTCTTTAAAAATTTTTTTTTGTGTTATACAAAAACTAAAAGGAACATTTGCCAATAGTGCCAACCAAATATTGATCACTCGGTGTCTTTGATTAACTAGTATAGGTATTAATGCCGGGTTCCAAAAATTATCATTAGAGACTAGATATTTAAAGAATCAATAGTGAGCTTAGTGGTCCTTAAGGATGATTTGGTGACCATGATTGGGGGGTCATTAAATGTAACTATTATTTTTTTTTAATGACCCAGCATATTATGTATTTAAAAATAAAAATAAATACATTTATAGGAAATATATTAATATGTAATTATTCTATACCTAGATAATTACACAAACCGTTTACAATATATAATACTCATATATTATGACATCGATTACGATTGAATGAAAACAAAACAATAACAACGTAATCACTCATAGCTCAAATAGTATTTTAATTGATAGATAGGTACGAAAGAACAAAAATAAGTACTTGTGAAAAATTGTGTATATCGATCAATAATTATACGTATTATAATATAAATTTAATAAAACAATTTACCCAGATATCTAAAATATATATTTTAATATTTTATATAATATCTAATCAATCTACCGTCTTTAAATTTTGTCATACCCATTAAACCTTCATATAAAAATGATTTCAACGCAGGTCACATACAAATAAATTATGATAAACAGCTATACTATAATTTTAAATTTATTGATAGGTATGTACGTAAAAAATAACGGTACCTGACTTGCATTTGCATAAGAGTTAATGGTGAGCCATTGAAAAAATATCACAGAAAATGTATTCATGTTATGAGGAAAACAGAATTTGATTTCATGCAGTCTTAACTCTTTAAGTGAAAAATAATTTATGAAGTTAATTGTTGTAATTATCGTATTCATAGATTAATAATTATATTATTAATACACGAATACGAAAAAGTTATGTTGATTGATTTTTTTCCAAATAGGGCCAGAAAAATTTCTAAAACAAACGATATAATATCTAATTAAAAACGAATTATAGATTCATACAATACCCTTTTAAAAGATTATTATATTTTAGTCTATATATTGTTTGCACCCCTACATAATTAAATTAAATTAAATTCATCGCTCACATTAATTTTTAATTTAATATAAACTTTCAAGCATTTTGATAGCCTAGGATGGGTCATAATGTAAAATAAATATTTTTTAGTACGTACTTATTACATGTTACATGTAATGCAGAAAACCAGACATATTACATTTATAATATCTATTTACCGGCTATTTTTGGATAATTTCTAACAATCTAATAATTATCTAAAAATTACATATAAAAAAATTACCTACCTATTGCTCAGGCAATTTATCCGATGACCAATTTCTCGCAGGCAGTGCGAATATGAAAAAATATATTCATACAATATATGTATTAGTGTAAATAAATGTCAAGTTGTGCAACAATTAGAAAAACTACAAAAATGTTATATTTGATTTCCCATTTTAATTTATTAGTTAATATAAGTATAGATGCATACCTAGTGCATCTAATGCATCACTAATGCATAGTGGTAGGAAATATGTGATAATATTGTCATAATATAAAATATTGTATATGCCTGATTTCTATATTTTTCCCCCACAGTAGGTACCAAATACATCTAATTTTCTACAAGAAACCAGCCTCAACTTTGAAGATTGAAGTATTTTTATATATTGCTCTTAAATTTGAGCTCAAACAACAACAACAACAACAACAACAACAACAACAACAAAAACACACACATTGCAAAACCAATACATTAATTATCCGCTCAGAATCTTAAACTAAAGTTTTCTTTGATACGAAAATAAAAATATCCAAATTGTTAAAAATAGTTACGATAGATAATATCTTAAGGTATCTTACTTATTTAAATTAAAATGATTGATTACCACCTATTTGTAATGTTTAAAAAAATAATTTGCTATTAATTAACTATTGGAATTGGATATTGGAGCAACAAAGTCCGTTAAATTTAATGTGCAATGTGCTTATATTATTATTACTTCTCATTTGTAATTAATTTATTACATTGTAAGTGCCTATATAGGTATATTCCTTTGTATTTTTCTATGACAGACACTGAGCAGTGAGCAGCATTCTTCTTATTGTGCTACACATTTTCAGAACGCTTTTTATTATTTACTAGAATAATAACTGCAGTAGGTAGATAGAACTTATATTGTACGCTTGTAAATTCGTATTATTCCACTTGAGATGGTTTAACTAGCCCTTGTTGTACAAGATTCTGCAATGAAGCTGCTATGACGTTGGCAGTTGACTTAAGATAGCCGCCGGACGTCAACATAACTAAAGGAATATTATTTTGTTGAGCTAATTTGAACACCATTTCATCTCTTTGTATTATTCCCTAAAATTAAAGTGTTAACATTTTTATTAATTTGAGAAGAATAAACTATTAAATATTTGTATAGTATCGTAACAAATAGGTAGGTACGAGGTTTGATTAAGCTGGCTCCAGACTTTGCATACATTGTCAAATAACATATGTTTCTGACATTGCTGGCTGTGGCTGTAATGTTTTTAATTCCCCCTCATTATTGAAAACGCAATCGAATATTGGAAAAATTGTCAATAACATGTGCTAAATGACAATGTATGCAATGTCTGGGCCCCGCTTATATTTGCTTAGTAGGTACCTAAATTTAAGTTTTTAAAACTAAAATAATAAATATTCAAAATACCATTAATTAATTTTAGCTCTACGTGATCAATATTCGATATTATTAAGAGGTACCTATACATATTTAGATCATAGATGTATAATATCGGGTCTTTTGATGAATTTTGTTAACACATGAATTTCAAATGCTTATGAAAGAAACGTGCCTACTATATGTACACACTACTCGTACCTTTAATATTTTTACACGTATACAATAACAACATACGAGGAACCCTGTACTAAGTTTTCAAGTTTTTTACCGAAGGAAAAATTTTTCTCGACAACAATTATTTAAAAAAGATGGACTGCTCGGCGCTCCGTTGTACTGTAGTTGTCGAGTATGTCATTGTAATGGATGTATTAGATTTAAATTCAATGATAAATCGTTGCATACAAAAAAAGATTTTGAGCAGAGACGGTGTGTCATCCTAGTATAGGCACTTGTATAAGTATTACTTATTCAATTAAATAATCAAAAACCGTTGAATATCAAATATTGTAAACAATTTTAAATCACACGCTTATAAAAAATTTATGTTACTTTCCAGTGAACTTTTCCTTTATAAAGGTAGAAAAATTTGTTGAAATCTTCTATGAAAATTTCTAATATTAGTTGTAAAATTAAATTTTTTTATGAATTTCTAACTGAAAAATTTCAGGATTTTGATGAATTTTCTAAAATTTGAACTTTAAATGCATATAAAAAATAATCTTTTATATGTAACTTCAATATTTTTAAACTGCTATTAGTAGAACTTATAAGGAACCTTGCATTCAATTTTAAGCTTTTTTACCAAGTGAAAAACCTTTTATTGGCAGTAATTTAAAGGAACCAGGAGCCAGTTTTTCAAATTGTAGGTACGCAATTAATACAATTTGAAAACTATATTGTATATTTTAGTTGCCACCTCAATTATAATACTTTTCTACTAATCTTTTGGCTAGATACTGACAGATACTTATTTAGTCACCGGGGGAGGGGGGAGAATTGTAGGATTTTGATAACTATTTTATTCTGTGAAAGAAGACTTCTAAGGTCCAAATCAACTTAGAATTTTTTTATTTTACTTAAAATAATATTATAAAATAATTTGTAAAAAGAGCTTAAAATTGGCTTATTTTTATTTTTTAATGATATATTATTAAGTTTGAAATTAAATTATTGAAAAACGAGTTCAATGCAGCTTGTTGAATATAACCATTTATTATATAGAAAAAAATATATCAAATTTGGGCGGTTCTACAAAACAGGATCATTATTTTGTAGACAAAATTACATTGGTACCGTCGGTATTTGGTGAAAATTTCAAGCGTCTACGGTTATTAGTTTTTGAGTTACACCAATAATAAAATAGATTTTGTTTAAATCTGGTTTTTCGTAAGTTTTTTTTTGGTTTTCCTGACGCTTTTGAAGATTACTGGGAATTTATACTTTTGATTTCTCGAAGTACCAACTAGATACATATTCGATATTCCTACCAGAAAAGTTGCTGAAGTAAAAAATCAAATTATTTTAACTGCCCTAGAAGACTATGACAGACCCGAAAAAAACATACGTATATCATTGTAAAATCAATTCCTCTCAGAATTTAAAATTACTATTTACTCATAGACCTTAGTATAAGAAAGGTCTAAGGACAAACTTAATAAATATGTAGGCACAGTGGACGCCCATAAATAGCTTATGTAGTTAAGTATTTTTGTTATTTTGGTTTCTAAACTATGAAAGAAGCCTACCTATTAATTTATTGAATAATATACTGTAGTGGTAACTGATAAATTATTTCTAAAAATGTTTTTTGGTAAAAATCACTCCAAAAATTTCATAATATGAATAGTTTTCTATACATTGGAAATTGGTCACACAAAGTTCAAGGAAATTTTTAAAAATTTTGGTCTTTTCTGTAAAAATTGGAAATAATAGAAAATAGAACTATGACATCTGCAAATTGCATTTTAAAATTCTTAATCAAAGTAATAATCTGAATAAAACTGAACTACATGTATAAGTTGTGATAATCCCCTAAATTCTTAATATAGTATTAAAAAGTAAAGAATAATCAATGAACATTCTTAAATAGACAGTTAGAATTGAATTTTCACATTTTTTTAAAATAAGATGAATATTTTACTAATAAAACAATGTATACAGTTGTATAACTAAATCTAATATTATCATGAAAATAATTAGTTTTATAACAAAATCAAATGAAAACTTGCCTCTGGAGTAATAGAGAGCAACCCCAACTTATCTCCTTTTAAAATGTCTGTACCAGCATTATAAATTATGAAGTCTGGTTTAACCTTCAGGAATGATTCATTCAAAGCACTAAAAATAAACATGAAATATTGAATTTTATATATTTAATTAATTATTAAAATTAAAATGATTTATAGGTAAGTAGATGAAAATAAATAGTACACAATGATTATCATCATTAATTGGAAATTATAGATTATATTAAAAACATCATATTGACAATAACCCTATACTAGTAGACTAGTTTATTTTTAGCTTATTCTATTTGATTATTACTATATAGTTATTAGGTTATAATTTTTTAATTCAACAAATATACCAGGAATTTTACTGTCTAAAATAATTCTATTTATTGTTTAATTTTCACAATACACAATACACATACATAGATATTTAAATAATACATAACCTGGTGGCTGGTTATTAGGTTAGTTCTAACAACTGCATAATAAATAATAATATGGTAGTTTTCACTATTCTTAGGCATCTGTATCTACTACTTTTAAGTGAAATTTTAGTTCTAAATTCAATAATTACCTATACAGGTATAATATACCTAGATACTATGTGTTATAAGCTGACCATGCAGGGTTAGGTGTAACAAGGTTATAAACATATTATGACAAATGTAAATTGCAAAATGACACAGGTGCAAACTATTTTATATGAATATTAAAAGTAAGACGGGTTAAGAGTGTAGTATGAAAAATAATGTACAAAATAAAAATGTTGTTTATATGCATATTGCATACATTAATAATTTCATAAATTACATTAGGTACTCAGGTACCTACTAATAAAACACCTTAAGTACAGTATAATATGCTTATAATGTTAATATTACAATTTTTATTAAATGTAATATTTAAATTCATTTATTTACTATCTTAAGAGGAAGCCATACCTGGATGCTTTGTCTCAGCCTTACAAATGCATAACATATCAAATTAATATTGATTGTATTAAACAAATAATAAATTTAACTTGGTTGTTTAATCTTAAGAGTGAATTGACCTTTAATCAAATCTAGAATTAAGAATATTATCTAGAAGATGACATGGTTTTTTTTTTTAATATTTCAATTTGTTATTTTATGTTTTTGTAAGATGGTGACAAGGCATGCGGACGGGGATAACCTCTTAATATATTTTAAATTTAATTTTGTTTTGACAATGGATTTTTACCTTTCAACGGTGGTTAAATATTCATAATCTTGTATAAAGTAATCTAGTTTCACAGCCTTTGAAATGGCAGTTTCTGCATATGTATCTTTTGGGTATATATTTTTATTAAATACATCAATAATAAATACTTTTGAGTTGCCAATAAAATCTCTCTCGTATCCATTACCCTTAGAAAATGTACTATATTTTTTAAAACAAAACTAATGATATTTTTTTAGTGTTTTGACCAACCTGGTGAGCATCTAAATCAATTATCATCACCAGATTACAGTCATTTTCTTGTAATGCATCGTTCACAACCAATGATATATCAGCATATGGACAAAATCCTCCACCACGATTTTTACTACAGTGATGAAAACCTCCTCCTAAATTAATCCCAACTCCATCCTTTCGAGCTATTTTTCCAGCTAACCTTGAACCTCCAACCTGAAATCTAAAAAATCTAAAAATAATAATAATCATATTATTTGAATCTTAGTTTGTTTACCTAATGGGCCTTAAATATTGTCTTTGAACCAAAAAATTAGGAAATATGGCAACCACAGGAATTTCTGATATACGTGCAGCAACACAACTCCACTGTTAATTAAATAAGTGTAGATTATTCACTATACACAAAAAAAATAACAGAAATAAAATAAAAAATAAAAAATAAATAAATAATAAATACTGTATACAAAAAAAATATTTTCACTAAAAATGTAATTTAAATATTATTGAAACAAAATAATTTTTATTACAATAGGTGGCTATTTACTTTCAAACTTTTCAGATATTTTCCACCATGAATCGTAAGCAGTGCATCATTAGAAATTTCATCAGGAATATGGATGTTACTTTGATTCAAACCCAAAGTATTTTTTAGTATCTAAACAAATTTTGATGAATTTTAAGTTGATACATATGTATAGGTATTGAGTAGGTATATTAGTTATTCTAATAAAATACAATTGATTATCAAACCATCTCATAGTTTTAGAGAATATAAATTTGTAAATGAATAACACAACAATGGTTAGTCTAATAAGACTTTTCTCAAAGAAAAGCGATAAGCTACCAAACTAGTCTTAAATCATTTAAGAGAAAGTTATTAAAATACTTATTAAAAAAAAACAAAAAAGTATTTTATGATCTATAATATTTTAATCAGATAAACCAACTTTTCTAGATTTTTTTTTACCTCTAAATTCTACTTGAAAATTAAATTTCCAATTTTTAAAAGATTAAAAATTACTCATAACATGTTTTAAGTACTGGACAAATACTCAATATCCATCTAAGCTTCTACTAAGTTGACTACAAGTCAAAAATAACTGTTAAACAGTATAATAATATTGTATTGTTTTCTTTTGAAAATTAAAAACCAACAACAATGATACAGAATTAAGTCAGGTAAATGTTGAAATACTATACAAAATTAAGTCTCATTTGCTTACTTTGTAAATGTGTGCCCATTTTTTTGAATCAAAAGGATGTAAATTTTCAAGACCAAAAAATGTAACATTGTACTCTTTTCTATATACGATCGGCCAATATTCTTTGGGCTTTATTTCAACCATAACTTATTAGAGAGCACTTAGGTACTTTCAATTGTTATCATTATTTAAGTACCTAGGTAAATCATTTCTGAGTTATTAAAAAAAGTATTATTATTTATGATTTAACATATTATTATATAGTCACTATTATTATTTAGTAATCAATCTTAAGCAATAGAATGCTAATAATAAACATATTGTATGAATGAATGTTGGATATTTGCAGTGTTCTATACTATGGCCATTGAACAGTGAACAACTGAATACCATAATATTATAATGTATTTAGATCAGTGCCTATGATTGACTACAGTTATACATACTTCACTCTTAAACATATATATTCCAATGACAAATTTACAAAGCGATTAGCTAAAATTAAAATACATAAATATATATTATTACATAAGTTAATAAATAATAATGTAGTTATTAATATTTGTATTTTGTAACTTTGTAAGTCAATTGATTCTGTGATAACGGTGTTTGATAATAACAATTGACCTGATAATAGAAAATCATGGTATGGTTAGGTTATAGTGTTTTACCATAGAACAATTTTGTTCAATATGGAATAGATCGATTTAGATTTTTTTTGAGGCAGTCAAATGTCAATAGTCATGAACTTGAGCAAGCTGAAGAAAGTACTTGAGGACATCTATTACTTATCTGAAGGTTTAATTATATTTTTTATAATAGGAAAACATTAGGGAATTTGACCATATAATACGTGCGTGACATATTCAATGAAAAATTCTACAAACATACCATATTTCTCATTGGTTACATCACTAAATTTTTTACAATTTAAAGTGTTATGTCGTTTATACACTTAGGGCTAAAAATGTCCAGAAATACTATCTTAACATTATCTTAAACCAACCCCACCCATACTCATATTAATAATATTTGAGTATTATAGACCACCAAAAAAATTGGACAACTGTTCCAGATGGTTTCAGTCAACACCCCAATGGTTGATTATTATTTGTAATTATATTGCACTATATATTTATATGACCACATACAATAAATGAATACATCTAAATCATATAACACGTTTGAGGTGTATTTGTATCTAATTGAAAATCCACAGACAATCAAAAGGATAAAAGTATTTAAATTCCATAATTACAGTTACGTTTATTTTTTTTTTTATGACAAAAAACAATACCTAATTTTAGATTATTTTATTCCCATTTAGCAATTTTTTTTTTACAAAACTTTTATTACAAAACATTTAAAAGTAAAAATAGTAAAATAAACATTTAATCTTCCACTCCTTTAGTATCATCAATTTCACTGCAACTGACCCAACGACCAATTGTATTCTCTTTCCATAGTGATACTTTATTAGTTTCAGCAGATACTGCAAGTACATTTCCAATTTTTGACCAGCTTACGGTCCAAACACGGCTTTCAAACAAATGCATTCGTACAGAAGACCATTTGGAATAATCATCACTATGTGACACTACAACAGTCTTATCTTCAGAACAACTTGCAATTAATTGTCGATTATCACCAATAGTACATGTCCAAGCCACATCACGAACCCAATCTGTATGACAATTTATTTCACCAACTTGTACCCATTGATCATTTTCAACAGTCCATATTTTCACTAAATTATCGCAGCCACCACTTGCTAATACTAACTTTTTACCAAAGTCTGTTTGATCAGATCCAAATAATAATTCCTTGTATGGAGCCCAAGCTACAGTATTACATCCATTATGGTGGGCACTAAATGACTTAGAAGACCATTCTTTGTTAAACACATGTACTCCAATGGACCCATCTGAACTCGCACTTGCTAAAATAGTGCCATGTTGATGGGGTGCCCAAGCAACAGCATTAACTGAAGATTCATGAGTAAATTCAAATATATTAAACCAATCATTGGATTCTTTCCATACAACAACACGTTTATCGTAAGAACAAGAGGCTAATAAATGTCCAGATACTGGATGGGACCAACAAATTTGCCACACAGGTCCGTGATGACCCTTAATATTGGCCAATAAAGTTTTATTACCATTGTTTATACTATAAACTTTGATTGTTTTATCACTAGAGCATGTAGCTAAGCGTTGACCATAATAATCCAGTTCAGCATCATGGACTTCCCCTTCGTGTTCATTCAAAATTAAGCCAGTCATAGGTACCATTTTCATATTAATTCTCCAAACAAAAACAAATGTATATCTGAAACAAGATTTAAAATAGAATTATTAATTTTAGTTCAAAATGCACAAAATAAAGAAGTATGTTGCAATTAGCAGTTTTATAAAAAACTTGATGACAACAAAATGTATAAAATACTAATTGTAATTACCCGGGGATAAAAAAAACCGAGATGGGCAATCCACCTAGTAATTTTTTCTTACGTGTAACTAATTGCAAGCAGAAAGAATCAAATATGCTGTGTATGGTTATGATTTTAAAATTATCACACTAAAATGATTGAGTGAATCTATTATCTAAAGCTTCCTTGAATCATCAGTTGAATATTCAGTGTTGAATATTTTTTGATAATATAAATCTCAGACTTTACCTTTTATATATTTAAACACAAGGCGATTTCTTTGGACAGCTATATCTGAAGTTCTACTAAACCAATTTTTGTTATTTTTGTTTTAAACACAAGTCTTTGGTGTGTCGATAAGCCATTTAATTAGAAAAGTTTAAAGTTTAAATAATTAGCAATATTATCATACATAATAGCTGTTATTCGTGGCATCTATTCTAATACTCATATGACCCATTCGGGATCTCAAATAATATGAATGTAAAATTTGGTGTCTATTAGTCAAAAACTGTAGATTAGCACATGAATTATTTAGATATGACTCTATTGTAATATTTTACAAAACAATCATTTGAAGAGAACAATTGAAATATTTGTTATTTTTCGGGGGATAAGAATACAATAACTAGTCCGGTTTGAAGTTACTGATAAAATTAATTTAATCGGTATGGAATCATTTCACTGTTGTATGAGAATTATCAGAGATCCTATCTAGTGACAGGTTTGAGATATTACCAAATACCAATGATAATTTATCATATATAAAAATTTTAATACACAATCACTTATTTAACATAATCAAGTAATTAATTTTAATTATATGATTAATAAATATCAATTAAAATTAAATGCATTGAATGAACCTTATCAAAATCGCTACTTTTTAATGAAAGTTACAGTAACGATAGACAGCGGAATAATAAATAAACGAAATTACCTTGGGTGGCGGTTTGATTAATCCAACAACGCGTTGATGAATTTCGAAAGATCCGTTTGAAATCGAATTAGCAGACGTTTTTTAAACACAATTTGCAAATAACGTCATAATATTAATATACCTCAGTTACTTGCAAGCTGCAAGTTGCAAGCATAACTTCACAAATTACAATTAATATTCAATATCATAATACATAATATTTATTTTGTATCTGATAAGGAAAGAAAAATCTGTCAACGCGGCAGAATGATAAGACGTGATTGGCATTATCACTTTGTTATTATCATTTTCCCATGGGCCGATCATCGTACGGCATGCGGTCTTCTCTCTCTCTTCTAGTCAAGAAATTCTATATAGATGATTGGATGATGCACACGTTTCACGCGGCTGCCGGTGAGTATGTTATTATATTGATAGGTATCGTATTTGACAGTTTTGTGTAAAGTCCTATTAACTAAACTTAACTTAGTTATTAGGTCTATGATTTTATGTGTCATCCTGCCATGCTGTGATTTAAGCGAAAGTCAAGTTTGGTCATAAACATACGTTTAAAATTATTTAGCTATAGGACCATAGTATACTACAACTCAATTGTGTGGAGTATACAATTTTGATTGATACGTATTTACATAAGTGCATTCTTGTTTATCATCTGGCTCCCTACCTAAAACGTAATATTTATTCGTCGTCGACGTGTTTTTTTAGAAAATATTAATTGTTTACTGTTACAGCAGTACAGTATTACACGGGTTCAATAATTTTGTTTGATCTCTTCGGGTCAATAGTTAAAGGATATTCTATCCTCTAACCTCTTTGGATACCTACTGAAATACATCATACCATTATGGCCACTACAAAACGAAGTCAACCAGCATGGTCTTGTGACAAAATATCTGATACACCTCGCTTAAAGTTGTTCAACAGCTTGACGAGAAAGAAAGAGATATTCATCCCAAAAAATGGGAATAAAGTGCATTGGTATAGCTGTGGGCCTACTGTGTATGATGCTTCACACATGGGACATGCTCGGTAAGTTCACATATTGTCTTATATTTTCTTTTTAAGGAATTTACTATGTTTCTTTTCTAGGAGTTACATTACGTTTGATATACTACGTAGAGTATTGAAGGATTATTTTCATTATGACGTTGAATATGTAATGAATATCACAGATATCGATGACAAAATAATCAAACGAGCACGACAATTACATTTGTTTGAAGAGTATGTAAAGACAGCTACCGATAAACAAATTGTGCAAAAAGATATTGTTCTGGCTCTAGGTGACCTTAAAAAAGATATTGAACAGATGGACCCGGACAAAAAAGTTATGACATTAAAGGCTATTGAGAAATTAACCTCTGTTTCTCAACTAATTGAGGGATCACTGTTGGATGATATAAAAGTATGTTAAAATGAATAATTTATTCATTTTTAAGAATTATAAACAAAGTTTTATTGTAGTTGGCCTTAAATGAAATCAAAGATCCATTTGGTGCTTATTTAGACACATTAAATAGTGCAGATGTTCCTGATAACAGTATATTTGAATCTCTGCCCAGATTCTGGGAAACAAATTTCCACTCAAATATGGCTTCTTTAAATGTTGAGTACCTATAATAATTAATTCTAAATTAAATATTAATGTGAAGTATTATAAAGTATGTATGTAATTTTTTCATTAACAGATTTTACCACCGGATAAACTTTCTAGGGTGAGTGAGTACATTCCTGAAATCATAGCATACATAGAAACAATAATAAAAAATGGTTATGCTTATGAATCTAACGGTTCAGTATATTTTGATGTTGCTACATTTGATTCTCAACCTATTCACCATTATGCTAAGTTAGTTCCAGAAGCATATGGAGATTCAAAATCACTTCAAGATGGAGAGGGTACATTTTTTAGAATTTATAACAAATTACAACATAAAAGTTTATTTGGATTCTAATTTAAAAATATTTTTGAAAGTACATTTCTTGTGTAATATTATGTAAATTAAAATTGTTTGAACCACCATTTTTTTCTATATTTTCAATTTTTGTTTAAAAACCACTAATGTTAAATAAAATAGACAGTAAACAGTCTGTTGTATTTACTAACCAAATGCACTTATAATTACATGATGAAGTCATCTAGTCATCTAGTTATGATGAAAACTGAAAAAATATTAGAATATGATGAAACTAATAATAATATTTTAGGTGATTTAACAACAAGTGCAGTTAATGAAAAACGTTCTCCTAATGATTTCGCCCTTTGGAAAAAATCAAAAAAAGGTGAACCATGGTGGAACTCTTCTTGGGGAAAAGGGAGACCTGGCTGGCATATTGAATGCTCTGTTATGGCTTCCTGTATTTTAGGCCAAACATTAGATATTCATACCGGTGGCATTGATCTAAAATTTCCACATCATGATAACGAAATTGCTCAAGCAGAAGTAATTATTAGTATAAATCAATACATCTTTTACTGTACCATTAACTGATACAATTATTATTTGTTTTGTAGGCCTATTATAACAACGAAGAATGGGTTCGGTACTTTTTGCATTCGGGTCATTTAACAATTTCAGGATGTAAAATGTCAAAGTCACTGAAAAACTTTATAACTATTGAAGATGCTCTAAAAAATAATACATCAAGACAATTGAGACTTGCCTTTTTACTACATTCATGGAAGGACACTTTAGATTATAGCGAAAGCACTATGGAGTCAGCGATGGCATGTGAAAAACTTCTCAATGTTAGTCTAATATGATCAAATTAACCTATTGATTTTTTTATAACTGATATTTATTATGAAGAGTTAAATATTTTAGGAATTCTTTTTAAATGTAAAACATGTAACTAGAAGAAATGATGTTAATAAATTAGCTGTTGGATATTCAAGGTGGTTAGCTTCTGAAATAGAATTGAGCAAGAAGTTTAATTTATGTAAATTAAATGTTCATGCAGCATTGTGTGGTAAATTTTAATTGTAAATTGTTCAATAATACACAAAATTATGTTAATCAATTATCAATTTTTTTAGATAATATTGATACAAAAGCAGTATTAGAAGCAATCAGAGAATGTATATCTGCTTGTAATGTATATTTAAGAGACTGCGATTCTTCTGCCATAAATCATACCTTATTGTTGGACATAGCTAAGTACATCACAGAAATATTGAAAGTATTTGGCATTAAAACAGCTGATGAAATTGGATTCCCAGTAAGCGAAGGGAGTTCTTCAAACGATGTAAGCATTACATTTATTTGTTTTTCATTTATATTCCATTCACATTAAAAAACCTCAGCAGCGACCAGTTTTATGGCTCGCCATGTCAATTATCTGTATGCCTCGTGTAGTAAAGCCACGGTACTGAGTACTACTCCACTGCCGAGGTTTTTTCTAAACGAGAATGGAGTATAGAATTATTTATTATTGGTCTAGAATTCTGTACACCTAGTAAAAAATAAAAATGCTTAATATTAATAAATCAATACTATTTAATAGGTTGAGACTATTGTCACTCCATACCTAAACATTTTATCAGATTTTCGTGATGCCGTCCGTGCTATTGCACGTTCAATAGGTTCTAAAGATATACTAATATTGTGTGATAAACTCAGAGATGAAACTCTGCCAGATAATGGAGTTCGTTTAGAAGATGTTGATGGAAAACCTACAGCTATTAAATTTGTGGGACGAGAAGCAATTTTACGTGAAAAAAAAGCAAAAGCTAAAGCAGAAGCAGATAAACTTGCTGAAAAGGAAAAAAAGAAAAAAGAACAAGATCAAGCCCGAGCTAAAAAAGAAGAACAAAAAAAAATACATCCTAAGGATTTGTTTAGATTAGAAACTGACAAATATTCAGAATTTGATGAAAACGTAAATGCTTGTATATCTTAAATTTTGAATATTAATTATTTTTTAAAACTAATTAGTCCATAATATATATATTTTTTAAATTATTTATAGGGTTTACCAACTGTTGACAATCAAGGTAACAAAATTAGTAAAGGATTGACCAAGAAGTTACAGAAAATTCAATCAACTCACGCAACACTACATAAAGAGTATTTAGAAAGTATTGACAAAATTTGATACAAAAATAAAAATTGAAATCATATTTGGTGTTTTATTTTATATTAACACCAGACTGTATTCATCCACTTTTAATTAATTTATTAATATATAATTTATAATATGCTGTGTCTAAAAAGTTATAAAAAGCTATGTGTAATAACTAGTGAGTATATTGTTTAGTTGTTTTTAAACATTTTTAGACACTTAAACTATACATTATTTATTTTACATTATTGGTGACAGTATTATTTCAAAAACATACTTTATTTAATTTATATTTTATTGACATTAATAAATGTAAACAAGTAATTTGACTAATCCATGAAATGAAAATAATGTGTTTTTTAATAAATAAATAAAATTAAATTTGTCTTCATACATTTTTAAACTATGCACACTTTTTTCAAAACCAGTGCCCCAGAAAATGGTACATTGTTCTTGTGTCCCAGAATCTTGTCATAAGATAAAGTCACAGTAGATATTGTCCCAAGTATCAAAAATGGGTGTGAGCATAATGGCATAGCAGTGCGATGACTTATAACTAAATGTACTGCAACTATATAGATAATGTTTGGGAGCTAAAGATTTATTTAAATATAATACATATATGTAAGTAGTTTAATTGCATTCTATAAGAGTCCCCAAAAATTGTCTTATACCGGGACCCAGGATTCAAGATCCAGCACTGGACTACCTTT